TGTATAAGTCAAAGGATAATGGGGGCGTGGGAATGAGAGACTTGAGTGCTTTAACATGGCAATCCTAGCTAAGCAATTCTGGAGGTTACTTAACAGTCCGGACTCAATGACAGCTAAGGTTCTTAAAGAAAAATATTATCCGAGAACTGATATATGGAGTGCAAAGCTCCCACCTAACGTAAGTTTCACTTGGAGGCCGATACTTTCTGCTAGGGAGTTTGTAGAATCTGGTTTATAGTGGCATCTTAGAAGTGGATCGGAAGGCAAATTAGGTTCTGGAAGGATGCTTAGATCCTTAAGTTACCTGGTGGGAAGTTACTCTCTAACTCTCCTGCTAATGTGATTGCTAATTCTTGCTTGTTTGACTAGAAAAACTTGGGAGGAGATGGTTGAAATGTTGATGCTCTCCAAGAGGTGTTGTCCGAGGTTGGGATTGAAGATATTCGGAAAATGCAATTTGTAGGAAGTGAACAAGATGATGTGCTCGCTTGGAAACATACTAAGAATGGGGAACTCTCAGTAAGGAGTGCTTATCATTATGACCTCCAAAGGAGAAGTGAAGAAGCTGAAGCTTCAATTGCAATTGAGAGAAGCTGGTTCCAGAAGAAAATTTGGAAGGCTAATGTCCCTCCAAAGGTTAAATATTTGGTGTGAAGGGTTGTTCGTAGTGGCATTCCCACTATGGCAAACCTGAGAAGAAGGGGCATGGATGTTGATTAGGTTTGCTCGAGATGCAAGGAAGGGGAGGAAACTATTGTTCATATGGCACTATTATGTAGGGAGACTAAATTATTTTGGCGCCTTTCTCCTCTTAGACTGGATATGGGTGTATGGGATAGCAGTATGCTAGAATGGTGTGAGACTTTTGCTAAGCGTTGCCAATCTTATCGAACTTGGGAGATTGCGATGATGTTCATTTGGCAGAGCTGGAATATGTGTAATAGCTGGGTGTTTAAGAGAAAGTGATGTGACCCAATGCAGGCCTGTGAGAGAACTGTTAGGTTCTTAGGAGAATACGAAGCTGCCTTGATTGCGTTATGAAGGACAACAGCAGGCTACCAATGCAAGCTCCCCCCTGGTATGAACTCCTCCCTCTATTGGCTTGGCAAAATTGAATACTGATGCGACCTTGGGCATTAACAACGTGGGGCTGGGAATGGTTGTGAGAGATTATATATTGTGGGGATATACTCATGTCAGCTGGGACAAGCCTGAAATTGGTGATGGATCCTAAACAAGTAAAAGTTGTAGCAGTCTTGTTCGGTATCAAGTATGCTTATGAGGCGGGGTTTCGTGCACTAGAGGTGGAAACAGATTGATTGAACTTGATTAATCTTCTCAAGGGAATAGCAAAAGAAAACTCAGCAACAAAAGTAATTGTGAATGACATTTTAGATCTGATTCAGTATTTTAATTCTTACTCTTTTTGTTTTTTTAGTAGGAATTGTAATAAAAGTGGCCCACTCCATGGCCAAATTAGCCATCCCTTTTGAGGAGGATCTAGTCTGGATGGAGGATTTCCCTCAAGAGGTACTGGTGTCTGTTTTAGCAGAAAAATCTTTAATATAATCAGCTTTTGGTCGTGTATCAATATATATATATGATCAAATATAATTAAGATTTTATTTTATGAAAATAGGAAAACCTAGGAATTTAATTAATTTAAGGTAAAATAATTATTTTATGAAAATCCAAACAAGATCTATTTATTTACTCATTAAGGCCGAAAATTCCAAGCTTCTAATTTAAGTTATTTGCTTAATATTTTGGACCAATCAAGTGATGATGAAAATCACATTTTATTTTACTTAGAAATCCGAAAATTATTTCTTAATTTTCGATTTTTATGAAAATAAATAATTTAGGAAATGATTAATAAATTTGGACCAAATAAAATAATAAAAATCAAATTTTCTTTTGCTAAGAAAATCCGAAAATTGCTTCTCAATCTTCGTTTTTTATGAGAATAATTAGTTTGAGAAATATTAATAAAATCAAACCAAATTAAATAAATAAAATTCAGATTTTAATATTTTGTAAAATTTTCAAAAATTATACATTATTAGTATATATTTTCAGTTTTGTAAAATAAATAAGTGGCTAAGCTAATTAATCCTATCCAAAATAATAATTAGGTTAGAAAATTTACTTGGCGCCAAAATTCGAATACTCCTTTGGCTCCAAAACTCAAATAACTAATTACATTACCAAAATACCCTTTTAGGAATTAATTATTAATTAATTAATTTAAAAATACTTATATAATACGGGGGTATTATAAGTGTAGTTTTATAAAAATTTGTTATGTTGAAGTTTTTGGAGATGATAAAACTTGTTAGATTTTAGTATATATCACTAAATTAGGTTTAGCTGGCATTAAGTATATTTCTATGGCCATTAGGAGGCATGTAATTTCCCGAAAATTCATCCCCATATGCCATAGCTACAAAAAAGCGACGAGAGCAAGGGATGTACCACATTGCAAGATCTATTCAATGATTGTGGCTTCAATGAAGGAAACCTTTGTTTGACTTTTTTTTTTATTTATTTAATTTAATTTATTTATTTTTGTTTATGTACAAGTATTTGTTAAATTTAGATTTCATATATAGATGTCTATGTTAATTTAGTAATGAATTGGTCATTAGGGGGGGCTATATAGATCGTTTCCCTTTAGTCTTTAGAAAAAAAAAATTTAAAACCAATAATGTATTGGCACATTAAACAAAATAACCATGCAGCAATTACAACTAGTTCCTAATTATATTTGAAATGCCAATTGATTGTTAAGGTTTAATTTCTTACAGATTAAGTACCTAATGTTTCTTATCTTAATCCCTTGTAAATTTGCTCTATTTTTTGTTTAAACCCAATTGTCATTCCAATTTCCTTATATTTATTCTTCTAAATATATTTGTGCTAACCATTACTCTTATTTTTTATGATCGCATTAATTCAAACACTTTTTGAGAGAACGTATACCAATATTCAACTTCAATTAGTATAATCTATACTTAGTATTTAAAAACTCTAACCGGAAAAGACACATGTCCACATCTTATTACACTTCTCTATCTTCTTCTCTAACCCAAGTGTCACATGTCTTCTTACATTATTAATTTTTAGTTACACTACTTTTCTTTAATTCTTTCATTAAACTTATACTTCATATTCCATGCACACTTCATCTTTATTTCCCCTCTTCAATTCAACCTTTCCTTTTCTCTCTTTAATTTTAGCCCCTCCACCTTCTTATTTAAACCTCATTTTCAATTAAAGTTCTAAAAACATATTTTCTATAAACATTTTTCCGATTACACATTATAACCTTTATAACTTATTGATATTTCCTCACTTACCTCTCAATGCAATTTTCTATGAGTAGCCCGTGCATTGCACGGGCCATGGACCAGAACTCTAGTTATCACTTAACAAGTAATAAATATATAAAGAATAATAAAGTGTCAATTTTTTTTTAATGAAAATTGATAAATAATAATAACTGAAGCGAATGAGCTACTCCTTTCATCCCTAAATTTTTTTCCCCATTGCCAATATTAGGGTCAAACTATAAAAATTTTGACCATTAATTATCATTGACCTATAAGTAGAGGTGAGCAAAATTTTCGGGTACCTAAAATTGAAATTGAAATTGAAACCAATTAGGAACCAATAGTTCTCTATCACCCACTATTGTTTAGTTCTTTTCCGTATTTTCTTTTCTTATTTTGTTAGATCATGCAACACTACAAGCTAAAAACAAATATGTTAAACAAATGAGGACATCACCTAAGACAACAACTTTTTAGTTTTAAATATCAAGTTAGTTCTTAAATGTATGAACATGTTTAATGCATACAATAAAGTATATACTAGAGTATGAGCGTATATCCCTATTTAATTTTACTTGACATGGATTAAATTATGATTAGGTGAAAAGATCCTTCTAATGCGCCTAATGTTAAGTAAAATACTTTTATTCAGGATGAGGATAATGCTTATAAAATCTATTATCATTTAATGATTCAGTCATTTATTCATGGATTCTACATCAAATTATAATAAATTAAGTTTGTCTTCTTGTAAGAATCATTCACCTTCCCAACACATGACGATGAGCTCAATACATATAACTTAAGAATCATTTTTGGACTTTTACCACCAAAAAAAAAAACAAAAAATCGTTTTTTACCACGAAAACTTCTAAAACTTTTATTTTACCACCAAAAAAATTCTAAAAATTGTTTTTTACCACCTACCGTCAAGAAAACCGTTAAATCTAATAGTGTTAAAAAAATATTCTTCAATTTTCGTGCGCAAAACATGTTCTTTATAGGTTTAGGGGTCCTATGGATCCAATTTGAGGTCATAATTGACAAAAAATGATCGGAAATGTCTCATTTTGCGTGTTTCACACAAATTAAGGTATTCTTTAGTAGGAAAACAAGCCATTTACGAACATCTTTTTTCAATTCTGACCTCAAATTGGATTCAAAGGGCCAAAATGCCCCCCCCCCAAAACCCCTAAAGAGCATGTTTTTGGCACGAAAATCGAAGAATTTAAAAAAATTCCGTTTGGTTTACCAGAATTTTTGACGGCAGGTGGTAATTTTTTTTTTTTTTTTGTGATAAAATAAAAGTTTTGAAAGTTTTGGTGGTAAAAAACATTTTTTTTTTTTTTGTGGTAAAAGTAAAAAAAAAACCAGAATTCAATTGATAACTTTTCTTAATAATTTATATGGTTACATTCAATTTTTCTACACTGTCATGTGACAAGTGCTCTTAAATTGTCTATACTCCTTCTAAAATGGAAAGAAATGAGGAATTCATGCCAATGATGTAGGATCCATGAATCATGAATGTTGTAATATTTAAACTCATAATGCTTATTTCATGCATCTTTCCAACAACCTCCATACCTATAAGTTAGACCTTCTTTTAGCTATATGTACGTGATCTTACTTATATACATGTATATAACTAGATCATCCTTTACTGTACATCATATAAAAATTCACTATGGAGTCCACTATAGTAGTAACTGATCAAGATATAATAAAAGATAAAGTAATAACACTAATTTCTCCGGAACATCCATTCCCTCAAGAAACCATGTTCTTGTCAAATATTGATCAAGCTGTAAGCTTTCCTGTAGAAACTTTGTTCTTCTTTCAAGTTCCAAAAGACAAGAAATTGTCAACAAATGACATTCCTGAGAGAATTAAGAAGGCAACTTGTGAACTACTTGTTCCATATTATTATATGGCTGGTAGGCTTAGTTTTAATTGTGAGACCAAAAGATTAGAGCTTATTTGTAATAATGCTGGAATTTCTTTTGTTAGTGCAAAATCAAAGCTTACTTTAGCAGATCTTGGAAATCTTTCTCTTCCCAATCCGTCTTTCGGCCAATTTCTTCATCGTCAAGGATTGTATAAGAACTTATGTGAGTTATCACTCTTGACCATTCAGGTAATCTTTTACAACACCTTTGTTAGCTTTAATATAATTAATACACTTACTTTCCTTTGTATTAATCTTATATAGATATATAGGCATTAATATTTGTAAAAAATGCAACACCAGTGCAATAATTTGAATTTTTATGTGAAAGTAAAAGAAAATGTTTATACATAGTAAGATTGAAAAGTAATTATATACATTGATATAGATTGAGTACCATAATCTAAATAATGTCATGCAATCCATAGGTACAATACAAAAGATTTTCATTTTCATTTTTAGTAATTAAGTTTCTAATGATTTGACGTAGATGTGTATCTTGGGATTGTATAATTACTTTTTTCTTATTTGTTTTTAGGTTACAAGATTTCAATGTGGAGGATTTTCAGTTGGATTTTTAACAAATCACGCAATACTTGATGGAAAAGCTGCTAGTCATATGTTTCTAAATCTTGCTTCAATATGTAAAGATGGAAATTTGAAAGTCCCACTTATCCACCATGATAGAACACATATAAAAGCTAGAGATCCTCTTATAATCAACTTTCCTCATGAAGAGTATATAAAGTTACCAAAGATTTCTTCAATGGCAACAGCCTTTACCACCTCTTATGAATCATCACCATCTCCATTGATCTTTGCAAAGAAGTATAGTCAAAAGCTTTTCAAATTTGATAATGAAATGATTAGTCACCTTAAAGCAAAGTCAATGGTGAGTTGCTCAAGTTTTGAAGCCATTGTGGCACATATTTGGAAGGAAAGAACAAAAGTAATATTCAAAGACCCTAATGAGCTGTCAACAGTATTTTTTGCAGTAGACATAAGGTCCAAAATCTCACCACCTCTGCCAGATGGTTTTGTTGGAAATGCCATCATCACTGCCTTTGCCACTTCAAGGGTTGCTGACATAACTAAGAACTCCATTTCATTTGGTGTTAAATTAATAAAGGAAGGCAAAGAAAGGGTTAATGAAGAATATGTTAGATCTGTGATTGACTGGCTAGAAATTTATAAAGGTATACCAGCAACAATTAATGGGAACTTTTATGTATCAGCTTGGTGGAAGCTTCCATTTGGTGACCTTGACTTTGGATTTGGGATGCCAACACATGTAAGCCCAATTGTTAGTGGAAATGATGAATTTGTGTTGTTACTTTCCGAAAGAAATGGTGGCCAACATGGAGAAGGGGGAGGAGTTAATGCGTGGATAAGTCTTGAGCCTCATAAGATGAATCAATTTCAGGCTAATATCTACAACATATGATCTTGATCAAAACATGATTGATTCATAGGTTATGTCTTCATTTTATTTATACGTAATATGTACTTGTTTATGGTATTTTAAACGAATTTAAATCACTGATCATAATATGGTATAAATACATATTATAGTGATCTAATGAAATAAACCAATATCTTTGTTTCACTCGTCAATATCATTTTAATTAGTTTTCATATATCAATATATTTGTTTAAAATTGTCTAGATAATTTTTAATTTTTAAATTTATACTTGTCTTAAAAACGGAAACTTTTTTGTAAATCACTTATTAACAATAATAATAGATAAGTCGACTTAAATAGGAAATTTATCAATTAGCAAGAAAGTAACTACTTTGGACTCATTTTAAAAAGAGAAACTTGCTTAATTAAAGCTTACTAATTATTGAAGTACTGTAACACATGCGCATTTAAATGTATTTTATAAATTAATTATGTATTTACATAATTTATTTAAAAGGTTGTAATATTTTAATCATTAAATATAAATAAAGCAAGTTTTGTTTTGGAAAGAGCACAAATAGAAGAAAGTTAAGAAAGCAATTTATTTCATTAATGACGTTTTTGTAAATAACATACTTTTATCATACTCATTGATAATGAGCTTACCCAACTTTGCTCTAATTTAAGGCTTTAAATATAATATTGCTAGAAATTGGCCCTATATACTAGTTTTAACGTATCAATGAATGAAAATTGATTAACCATCAAAGAAGATTATTAAAAAGGGTTTCAACTTATTTTTTAGATTATTTAATGAGGTTTTAAGATTATAAAGTTACTGGAAATTAATTATACAAGTGTAGTAATACGGTTTTGTTGTCATTAAATTATTGTAGGGGACATTGTCCTAGGCAAGTTCTATTAATTGTGGCTTTTTTGCAATCATATTCGAGGTATACCTAGGGTAAGTATGAGAGAATTTTTCGCATGTAGGATTCAAGATAGATTAAAGACTGCTACAATGTTGCTTTCAAGAAAGTTATTTCAGCAGTTATTTGTGGATGCATATACAATAATGACCGAATTTGAAAGATTATTCTAGAGCTAACCAAAAGAACTTAAGCTTTGAGATTTACAGAAGTATTCATTAATCTGCTCAAATGGGAAATAAAAATACGTCTTCATTAGAAAACAAGTCATTTTACCATCATCTTTAACTAATGGAGGTAGGTAAATGGTTTAAAATTACCTAGATGTAATGGCTCTATATATGTAAGTGGTTTGAATATCCTAACCTGTTTATAAGCTTCCCTTGCAATCCCAAATGGCTTGAAATTACAAGATTAGCGAAAAAGCTAGGTTTAAAATAGGAGGACAGATCTGATATCTTTAGTCGAGTCTTCAAAATCAAAATTGATCAATTATTGATCAAAGATTTACGAGGTTAGGTATTAACGATGTAATTGGTATTGTGGGAAGAACAGATTGTAGAAGACAACTATGAGATGAAAGATTTAAAGATAAGATGTAGAAGGTGGGTATATATCCTTTTGTTCTATTTCTAGAAGACAACTATGAAATAAGAGTTTTGAAGAGAATAAAGGATTGTGGAAGACATAATTTTGAAATAACCTTTAATAGGTATGCATTTCATAATTTGAATTGGTAATATGAGGTACAAAACCATTGGTGAAGTAATTTATTTATATTTACTACATTTTGAAGTACTTTGTATTATTTCTGAAAGAAGTAATTTTGAGGATATTTTGATTTTAGCGACCACAGAAGAGAGAAAAAAAATCACGAAATTGTTTTATACCACCAAAACTTCTAAAAGTTTAATTTTACCGCCAAAAAAAATTCTAAAAATTGTTTTTCACCACTTGCCATCAAGAGAACCGTTAAATCTAACGGTTTACAAAAATTCTTCGATTTTCATGTCAAAAACATGTTCTTTAGAGGTTTTAGGAGTCATTTTAGCCTTTTGGGTCCGATTGACAATATATTATCGCAAATGACTCGTTTTGTAACACCCCCAAATCTCCCTCTACGGAATATGTAGAAAATACGTATAAATACCATAGAGATAGACTTGAGCGTATTACCGCCGCGTGATAACGCAAGGCTTATACTTTAAAAATACTTTTGCAGCGGAAAATTCTTTTCTTATTAATAAAACTTTAAATAAACTTGTTCATAATTTTTGACACAAAACAAAGTCAAACTTTTCCTAAGCTAGGTGAAATTCCCGTGGACTCCCGTATGCATCAATTAACTTCCACCTGAAAAGTTCACCTGCCTACCATAAATGGTAAACAGGGCAAAGCCAAAACAAAAGTACGTATTAGCAAATTATGCTAAGTAGATTATGTGTAAGATAAGTAAAACATAATTTAAATCATTTAAGTTTAATTCATAGAATTCCAATGCCATACTCATGTAAGAGCTTTTCCAATTCAATGCTTTCAAGACAAGTTTAAAACTCAATCGATTACGTTCCAAAACCATTTCCTCACTAAGTGTGCACACCCCCCAAGTGGTTTACTTTATGAACAAAGGCCAATCTTGAGGAAAGACTAGGTCATGCAAAGTCCATAGTCTTCTCTAATCCATTCCCTAAGTGGGATTCATAACCATATCGATTGATTTACTTAAAAGCACCTTTTAAAAAAATTCATCATTCTTGAATATTAAGAAACCTGCAAATCAATTTTAATTCAATCCTTTTTAATAATTTTAATCATAATTCAAAGTCTATTTTGATTAACCAAAAATCATTAATTCAAACCATCATGAAGCATAATTTTATAAGGAACATAATAAGATACAATTTCATGGACAACTTTCGAAGGTATCAAACCACATAACGTACCTCAATTCCGAATATCAATCAACACTTCGCACTTTCAAAGTTCAATCACGAATACACCTTGCAATTAACATAACCATACGGTTATCACAACATCTTTAGACATAAACCTAAATCTAATGTGCATGGACTATAAAACTCTTTTAAAAATAATACTTTAATATAAAATTATAACTGTGAAATAGGTAATTATATGTTAGAAAACTAACCATGAAGAAAATAAAGGAATAGGATTAAAGGAAATTGAATTTGCGTTGGAAAGGATAGACAGAACTTGAAGAGGTCATAACTCCTTTGATATAACTCTGAATTGGGTGATTCTTGATCCTAACCTCAAGGACTTTTTGAGAGGAATAATTTTCTGTGAAATAGAAAAATCCAAAAACTGACCATAAGTGCCCGAAAATTATCTTCAAAGATATATGGGCAGATTTTCTTTTAGAAAAGAGGAAAAGAAGAGTAAAAGAAAAGAAGGGAATTGAGTTTTTGGTGTGAAGAATATGAGAGGTATGAGGGGGTATTCATAGGTGTTTAGATGATGAATTTATAGCAATTTAGGGTTGTATAATTTATGGAAATTTTAAAGAATAGGAATTAGGGTTTTAAATGTATGGAAGGATATTAGATTTTATTTTATCATGAAATTTTGTTTAGTAGGTTTTGAGCTTGGAGTGCAAGTATAGAATAAGATCAAATAAATTTTAGATTTAAGAGTAGAAATAAGGAATTTTAAAGGATTTTTATTTTTAATAAAATAAATTAAAATCATTTAGAAAATTCATGAGTGGCCGAAAATATTGAGCTTAATATTGCTCAATAATTTCGGTCCCTCTATGTTAATTTATGGATTTTGTAAAATAATTTATTTGCTTAAAATTAATAATCCAATAAAATTTATTTTGTGAAAATTAATACTTGAAAGAATAAAATCAGATTTTTATTAAATAATTGGGGTGGCTGAAAATTTGACTTATAATAATTAATTAAATCAGATTTTTATTATATAAAATCTGAAAAATAATTCTTTAAAAATATATTTCATGAAAATAATTAATTTGGAAAGATATTAAAACAATTCAGATTTTTATTCTATGAAAACCGAAAATACAATTTAATTAATTTACCGAATTAATATAATTTCGGTTTAGCTATTTAATTTTGAGAAACCAAAAATACTATTTATAACATAAGTATAAAATAGTTTCATTTATTGGATTATCCAATTTAATTAGTTTTGTAAAATAATGATTTAGGCGCCAAAATTTAAATATCATTTTGGCTCCAAAACTAAAATACTCTGTAGGAAAATAATTAATTTAGATAATACTTCAAAAATACGAGACTAAAATACTCTTTAATTTAGAAAATAACTTTTAAAAAATACAGGGTATTACACATTTTGCATGTGTCATACAAATCGAGGTTTTTTTAGTATGCAAAACGAGACATTTGCGATAACTTTTTGTCAATTTTGATCTCTAATCAAATCCATAGGGCATAAATGACCACCAAAATCATTAAAGAACACATTTTTGGCTTGAAAAGTAAAGATTTTTTTTAATTCCATTAGTTGTAATGGTTATTTTGACAGCAGATGGTGAGAAACAATCTTAGTTTTTTATTTGGTAAAATAAAACTTTTAGAAATTTTGGTGGTATACACCAATTTCTTTTTGTAAAATTATAATTCCAAAGCTTTTTTATTTATTTATTTATTTATTTTATTATGTAAACCAATATTTTGGTAGTAGCATTTTTTTTCCTTTTTCTTTAAAAGTATATAGTATTTACACACAAATGATGATTGTAACCACACTTGATTTCTTATTACTTTGAATGAAAAAGATATTAAGGATTTTATACTTCGTATGGAAGTAATTTCAAAGAGGGAGCGATGTTTAGTACAAGTCTTAGTATTTGCATCATTCATATTAATTGTTATTTAAGTTACTAAGTTAGAGTAATAAGTTTCAATAATACTGATTATTTTTAAAATAGATGTATTAATAAGTTAAAACCCCAGCATTGCATTGGTACTACTAAAATAGTACTAGTTTAATTGAAACATTTCCAAATAAAAAATAACTTTATCAAACATGTTCTTAAGCCTCACCTTATTTCAGATTAGATTATAATATTTTTTTTTTTGTTATTAATTCCAGGGTTTCTCTGAATTTGAAAGATTTCTAATCAAATTTGTAATACTCCGTATTTTTGAGAAGTATTTTCTAATTAATTAATTATTACTTTCTAAAAAGGGTATTTTGGTAATTTAATTAATTATTTGAATTTTGGAGCCAAAAGATTATTTGAATTTTGGCGCCAAATAGATTTT